TTCGTTACAATTTTGTTTCCTTTTTTTAGAATTGGTTTTATTCTAAGTAAATAAGTTTAGCTTTTTGCCACAAACGCTTTATACCGCGTTAAAAGATGCGAACTGTCGTGGTCAGTGTGTCTAAAAAAATTACTTTAAATGTGGACAAAAATTGTGTGCCACTGCCGATTTGTACAGGCCGATAGTGATCTATATGATATGTATCAGCTGATGCATTGGTCACTAGTTTAAATTTGTACAAATTATTTGTAAATTTCTAACTGTACACTCCCAGTTAGTACGGATCCTGATGATACCGACCTAGATAATGCCACTTATATGGGGTGCTAATAAATTTAAAGGTACCCTGTGATGCAAATTCCAAAATCTTTTAATTTTGTCCGCGCAAAATAATTTCATTTGAATAGAATGCCAGGTAAAAAAAATTTAATTTCAAATGTCTCAAGCAGGCTTTTTTAGTTGGGATGCCAACTAAAAAAGCCTGCTTGATTTTTTATTTTCTACAATAAATTTAACAGATGTTTAGCTTTTACTGTGCAGTATATACATAGGTATCTATTGTTTTAGCTTTTATTACCATTTAAAGGGCAACAAATATTCATAAGTTTTTTGACTTTGTTTAAATTAATTAATATAGATAGAGGTGTTATAATCAAAAAATAATTTTTAAATTTACACTGCCAGAATTATTATAGGCTGACTAAGCTTTAACTTTAACCTGAAGGTTCAAATCAGCTTTAACCTTAACGTGATTGCTAAATATCAAATAAAAAACTTTCCTAATGAAAAATTAATACAAATTATAAGTAAAAAATTTGCAAAATTTGCTAACACAAGTTTGTTATAGTAGTTGCTACTTCTAATGTTTTCATTCAGCCATTCAAAAAATGATTCACTACTTTATTTATGTACTTAAATTATTATTTTTTAATTATTATTAAAACAATCATTTTTTTTTTATTTCCAGATGCTAATGTTGAAGTTTTATTAGGTTCTGACAACAATTTGAAAGGGATTTTTTTTCAAGACCATTTTATGCACTGTGCGTACAATTCATATCCAGAGTTCCTTTGTTTTGATGCAACATATAAACTGTTACAAATTCGTCTGCCTGTTTATATTATACTTTGTGAAGATAGTTGTGGTTAGTGTGTTTCTTTATACATTTTGTGATATAATTGATCATCATCCCTAAATTAACTTTTGTAAATAATACTGATAACAGTTAATTTAGGAATGTATCAACCAATCACAAAATGTATAAAGGAAATGAACAATTTTATATATTCAAATACAAATATTTATTTTTTATGATTTTTTTTCTTCTTTTTTTATCTAATTTACTTCTAACAAGGCTGCAAGCAACCACTATTAAGTGGGGGTTACTTGAAAACAAAGAATAGAGTTATAGAGCAAGGAAGAGGCTGAATCAAGACTTAAAAGGTTTAAGATTTTAAGAGTCAGAAAGTTTAGGTTTTAAGTTTTAAGAGTCAGAGGTTGTAGATTTTAAGAGTAAGAGTTTATACATAAAAAATACAGTTTAAAATAACAAAAACACATAGCATGACAACTGACTGTGTTCTTTTTTCATATTTCTGCTTATTCTAAGCCTGTATAAGGTTTCCAAATATGTTTCCCAGAATCATTTAAATTTATGTTCACACAGAGAAGACTAATCGGACAATAATTGGAAGAGTTAAAATGTTGAATTGTTGCTAACTTGTTTTTTAATTAATTTTAATTTTATTAAAATAGGTGAAAGTAAAGTAGCTGCCGTTGGTTTAATTACAAATGAAGATGCGGCATCATTGAGGTTTGATGTTTTGTGTTATGCGATGTATATAAAGATAGTGTTTTTTTTTGTCAAAATAACTATTTTTATAATGTTTTTAGTTGGTTTGTAGAAACATTTAAAAGAAACAACTGTTCCTGGTCTAAAACTAATGCCATAATTACGGACAAAGACTTAAACGAGAGAGATGTTTTACGTGCTTCTTTTCCTGATGCATCTCTTTTACTTTGCCTATTTCACACTCTTAGGTAAAATAATCTAGTAACAGCTAGTAAGTTAAATGTTAATTGTTAAAATAATTAGTTCAAGGGTTTTTATTTTCAGAACATTTAATCGTGAAATTTCCACTGTAAAACTTGGCATCACAAGTGGTCAACGAACGTCTTGTCTAGAACTCATTCAAAAATTAGCATATGCAAGATCAGAGACACAGTATAATGAATTTTATGACATATTTGTTTCTTTATCGCCAACTACAGTTCTCGAATATTTTAATAATAATTGGCACAACATTCGTAATGAATGGGTCTTTGGCTTAAATTATGCTTGTGCTAATTTTATGAACACCACTAACAATCGTCTTGAAAATTTTAATGGAAAACTGAAAGAAGTGGTTGATTGTAATAGTACTTTAGAAAATTTTCTTGAAAATTTATATGTTTTGTTAGCCTCAATGCGAAATGAGCGAGATCACAAAACTATTTTCAAAATGCAGAAAATTTGTATAGACTTTTTTGAACCTAATTCAGCTGAATCAGAATATAAAAATATTTTGACAACATATGCATTTGAGCAAGTATTGAAACAATTTTCCTTGCATTCAGAAGTAAATCTTTTTTGTGACAATGAAAACTATATAGTTAAAAGCAGTGAAGGTATGCTTATAGTTACTTCTGATTCGTGTGGTTGTATGTTTAGAAAATCAATGGGTCTGCCGTGTCGCCATATCTTCGCAGTTCGCCAGTTGCTAGGTTTGAATCTATTTGATGCCAAGCTATGTCTAGAAAGGTGGACAATAAAGTATTATCGTCAGCATCAAAGAGTTTTTAATACTTCTTCCAAAACTAAGGAGTCATGTGTGCAGATTAGTGTTGCTCCAAGAAAAAAAACAATCCTTTCTCAGCATGAAAAGTTTAAACATGCACTTCGTACAACTTCACTGTTAGCTACATTGGTTTCAGAGTCAACTGGACCTTCTTTTGAACAGAGAATGGGTCTTCTACAAGAACTGCAGAAGGGTTGGGAGCATGGCAAAGTCATGGTGTTAAATGAACTTATTGAGACAGACTTAGGGGTATCTGATATAGTCTCAAATCAAACTTTTTCAGATGCAGGAGCACCAAATGATGTAGATTTAATTGAAATTTTGAACAAAGAGGAGGGAAATGAGATTGATTTTAGAAATGTGTCTTCAGAGCAATATGTTACTGTCAATAATTTGCAACAAAACCAAGAAGAATGTTTTGTTGTGCAGGACGAAGCAGGTTTAGTAGGTATATATAAAATTCAAAATAATTAAATGCAATTGAGAGTGATAATTATATTAAATAGAATTTATTAATTATGTAAGATTAAGATGGAGTTGTAGCATTTTGTACATTCATTTTAGATACTCAGTTAAAAAAGATTTGCTTGCCTCAAAATGTTGTCCATTGTGGACGACCTAAAGGTGCTACTCATACAACAATAGGTCTTCCTAAAAAATGTCTTTGTCGGTCTTCTGATGTGCCAGTTCCTTTTATAAAACTTGAACCAGCTAAAAGACATGCTTGTATGTTAAAAATATTATTTTAAATTTTAAGCTAATAAATAATATTAGGGGTCATCCATAAAGAGTCTAACTAATAAATAGTAGTATAAGATTTTTTTCTAGTACTAAGAAGATTTCTTTTCTTGCACAATTTTAAATTTATATGTTTAATTATGATCATTGTGCAGAAACGGAAATGATCTCCTATCTATATTAAAAAGTCAAATTCAGCATGACACACTTTATGGGTGACTACTTAATTAAAATTAATGGTTTTGCAGCATAAGTTATTAAGCTCAAATGGTTTTGTTATAGTGATGCTTGGTTGGTTTTTAAAAGCTGATGACGTACAGAAAGCTCTTTCTGGTACCCTTATCAATAAGAGTGCTGTAGAAAAAGACCGAATTGTATTCCCTCATCTATACTTGATGAAAGTGCATTAGAGTTACTTTCTTCATTGCAAATATACTTTAGCTCGGATGCATGGAAAGCACTTGATAAAGTAATCAAGGCTAAAAAAAATCAGCATATCTGGCCATGTGCTGTATCACAAGCGAAGGAAATAAAACTGGTAATGCAATAGCATGTGATTCATGCTTATTGTGGTCACATAAAAAATGTGTAGGACAAAAAGAGAATTCCTTTTTAAAAGCAAGGTATTGGTTTTGTCGCACTTGTTATGGAAGGTAATGATTTAAGTATTACCTTTATAATTTTTGTATATATATATATATATATATATATATATATATATATATATATATATATATATATATATATATGTATTGTTACAGATTATATAGTTATATTTAAATAGTATTATATAGATTGTATAGATTAGATACAGATTGTGAAAATGTTTTTAAAAGCTCTGTAAGATTATATAGTATTACATATATTGTATAGATTAGATACAGATTGTGAAAATATTTATAAAAGCTCTGTAAATCTTGTTTGTTTTTTTTGTTTTTTTTTTCAAAAATCTAGTATTATAAAATAAAAAGAAACTGTTTTTAAGAAAAAACGAAAGAAAAAAAAAAAAATTTTTTGTGACAATATTTTTTCCTTTTTTGTTTTTGTTTGTTTTTTGTTTTGTATTTAATCTAGAAATATGAAATGCCAAGTCCTATGGTTTACCTTCTCGTGGTGCATTTCGTTAAATAAGTTACAAAAGTTTTACACTTTGTAATTTATAAACTAAAAACCAAGGCAATATTTTTAGAAGTTATATAAGGTTTGTAGAAATTTTATAATATTTGTCAATTAATAAATTTATTAAATAAAAATTGAGTAAATATACATATTACATACCATGTTACATACAATGTAATATATACATATGGTATTACAAATATGTTTACAGTTATGTTTTTTAATAAATTAAACTCTTTTATTAGGGAAATATATAACCCCATGCGTTTTTACTTAATGTGCAAAAATATCTGAATTAACCCTTACAAAAAAACCCAGCGAACTTCCAGTGAAAAAATGTTCCAAAACCCAGCGAACTTCCAGTGATCTTTTCCAGTGATCTCTAAAGTTCACTGGAAATTTCCAGCGAACTTGTTCCAAAACCCAGCGAACTTCCAGCGAACTTTTCCAGTGATCTTTAAAGATCACTGGAAGTTCGCTGGAAATTTCCAGCGAACTTGTTCCAAAACCCAGCGAACTTCCAGTGAACTTTTCTAGCGAATTTTCATGTTTATGTATAAAAATAGATTCGCTGGAAGTTTTTTTTAAAAAGGATTTTTTATTTTTGCTATAAAAGTTTCAAAAATTTATAAACATTTTAAAATTTTTTAACCAATAAACGCGAAATAAGATAAGTTAAGCGCGATAAAAAAGTAATATATTTATTTTAAAATATCGAGTTTTATAAATTAAAATACAATGTAGGATTAGATTATCTTAGGTATAATTACAAATTCTCAGAAATAAACTTCAATACAGAATACAATTTTTAACAAGAAACTAAAAAGTTAATTTATTAATTAATGTAAAACATATTTTTTTATAGGCATAAGTAAACTTTATATTACGCATGTTTCTATATTTAAAAAGTTTTTTCTCGTTAGCGTTCTCATACGACAAATTATCACAACGAAACAAAAAGAATTAAGAAATTCGTCAATTCATCTTTTGAAAACCACTTTAGGCATTCTTTTCGGTTTGGGTCTTTAGAGCTAAAAAAAAAAAAAAAAAAAAAAGAATGCATACAATAAATAAAGAACATATATATATATATATATATATATATATATATATATATATATATATATATATATATATATATAATATATATATATATTTAAACAATATTCAAAATGTATTCTACAAAATAGAGTGCTCATTGTTCTTAAAAGAACAGAGCAATTATAAATAAGTAGAAAATTACTTAACAAAAATTTTTTTTCATTTTACACTGTTACATCGAAAACTTTTAAAAAATTTTCTATTAAGTGACTTTCTACTAATATATATATATATATATATATATATATATATATATATATATATATATATATATATATATATATATATATATATATATATATATATATATATATATATATATATATATTCTGGTAAATAAATTTAAAAACTGAAGACAATACAGAGAAAAAATTAATGGACAAAGTAACTTGCTACAAATCAATTAAAAATTTTATTACAAATTATGACAAAATAAACCTCTTAATATTAAAATAACAATAATAATGTAGTAAGTTAGTTAGATAAATTTATATTTAGGATTTTCCCATTTAATATGAAGTGCTTCTTTTATTTTTAATTTGTTAATGGTAGAGGCAGTATCCAAAATCTAAAAGCAATCAAAATTAGTTAGTGTTTTACAAACACTAACTAATAATTATATAAAACATAATATTCAAAATAAGACAAAATGTGAAATGATAAGCAAAAATAAAACAGTATAAGATAGATAAAAACATACCAACATATTTTTGCGCAATTAGAATCAATCATTTTTTATTAATTTATCAATTTCCAACCAATAGCATTTTATCACTTTTATCCTGCATAAAAATAATAATTATAGATAAAATAATAAAAACTTATATATATATATATATATATATATATATATATATATATATATATATATATATATATATATATATATATATATATATATATATATATAATCAATTATTATAATAACTAAATAATTTTAATTTAAGAACCCAGCAAACTTTCACTGGAAGTTTTCTGGGTTTTTTTTTGTAAGGAACTTTACAAATTTTAAACTAATTTTTTTTTAAATTTTTAACTGTTTAAATCAACAAAACAAAAAATCATATAGCTCTACTTTTCTGTATTGATATAGATATTTAAATCTGTAAAAAACATAATAGTCATTATAAAGCAAAACTTAAACCTGTATATTAGTGAAAAAGAAAAATATTGCAGTAAATTTATCTTATAGGCAATATGATGCTTAAGCATGTTTTTTAGCCCATTTCAAAAAAGTCGAGAACCAAATGGCAGTAGTTACATTTTTTATTCCGAATAAGCGTACTTTGTTTACTTTCTCTGATAACTTATATCATTTAATTCAAATTGTATTTATTAGGATATTTTAGTATAATTTTAGATGGAAAAATTATGAAGTCAGTGGTCTGTTGGTTCTCTACTGACAAATTAGCATAACAAAACAAACAGAATTCCGAAAATTGACTTTAAAAGTATTTTCGTTTGGGTCTTTAAAGCTAAAAAAAAAAAAGATGGTTTATACAATATTTAAAGGACATCAATAACAATTTTATAAAAACATATAATAAATACTGTATAAAATTTATATATATATATATATATATATATATATATATATATATATATATACACATACATAATATATATATATATATATATATATATATATATATATATATATATATATATATATATATATATATATATATATATATATATATATATATATAGAGAGAGAGAGAGAGAGAGAGAGAGAGGGAAAGATTTTAGTTTACTTAAATAAAAACTGCATTAAAATATAATACCTGCTTTAAAAAAAGCTCTGTATATATATAACTGCTATAAAATAACTCTTTAATATAAAACATATTTTCTTTACCATACAAATCAGAAAACTCATAAAAAAATCTATTAACTAATAATGTGGCTTCATTAATTACACTTTCAGATAATACATTATTGTTCAACGTAAAAACAATATTAGATTAAAGAGTAAAATGGTCAAAAAACTGAGGAGGCAAAACATCACATAAAATAACAGGACCATAAAAAACTAAAAAATTAAAAAACTCAATACCTTTCCAATGCTTTATACAACTTAATGATCATCGAGTCTGTCTTATATTGCTTGGCACACTGATTGCAGATAAAAGATTATTTACAACAGTACAGTGTCTTCTAATAGAAAAAATATAACCAGAATAATAACTATCAAATCAGAAAGAAAACATAGCTTTCATAACACCAAGCTCAATACAGTGCAGATTATTAACAACTGTTCCATTTTCACAATTAAAATTAGGTACTCTTACAAATGTAGAAAAATCTAAAAACCCTTTAATCACATTAATCCAAAAAAAATCTGTATGGTTTCTACAACTCCCATTAACATCAGAAAATGGATAAGTCATACAAGACCTCCTACCTTTTTTTAACTCTTACCCCTTGAGAAGAACACCATTGGCAACCATTATAATCATTAAACTACCTACAACAAAAAACCATAGCTCCTGCAATTGTATCACACAAAAAAATAGATACATGAAAAAAAACAACACGAACATTATTAGATAAGAGTATACCAGTAGTGGATAGGTTAGTAAAAAATCAACAAAACAAGATAAAAATAATTGCACGTTTGGTTTTTTAAAACTGGACCAGAAACCAAAAAACAAAATATTAGTAATTTGCAATGAATATGGAAAATTATGAATGGATGCTAGCAAAGGCCACAAGGTCCACTTTGATAATTTAAAAACAGGAATTCCATCAGTATTAACAACAAGTCTAATTGTTGCTTGCACATTTTCTTCAAGACTTGCTAAATGTATCCAATTGTTATCACACATGTTTTTATGCTGTTTGTTTATGTTTAAAATATGAAAATAACTGCATTTCTTATAAAGATAGGATAATGTAAAATATTTCAAACATTTTGTACATTGCTTATTAGTACTTAAAGCAACTTCACAAATATATATATATATATATACATATATATATATATATATATATATATATATATATATATATATATATATACAATATATATATATATATATATATATATATATATATATATATATATAAATTAGTAAAAACACTTATCTAATTTTTATTTTCTTCTACAGCTTGTTTCTCCATCAGTTGGATTATCAGAAAGATTCCTTCCTGATGATCCTACTGATGGAGAAACAAGCTGTAGAAGAAAATAAAAATTAGATAAGTGTTTTTACTAATTTATTATTGCTCTGTTCTTTAAGAACGTTGAGCACTCTATTTGTAGAATACACTAACATATTATATATATATATATATATATATATATATATATATATATATATATATATATATATATATATATATATATATATATATATATATATATATATATACTAATTTATTATTGCTCTGTTCTTTAAGAACGTTGAGCACTCTATTTGTAGAATACACTAACATATTATATATATATATATATATATAGATATATATATATATATATATATATATATATATATATATATATATATATATATATATATATATATATATATATATATATATATATATATATATATATATATATATATATATATATATATATATATATATATATATATATACTGAGAGAGAGAGGGATATATATTATATATCCCTCTCTTTCAGTGAGAGAGAGAAACAGATTGTTATTTATTATTTTTAATATAAAATACTTAATCATAAAGACATTTATAAAAATTATTTTTATAAAATAATAAAGTTGAATTTAATAAATAAAATGCATTCGCATAAAGCGAATGCATAATAAACAATACTTAAGAGAAATAAACATTTTGAGCAACATACCAGATGATTTTGTTTTGTAACTTGAGTAGAACTAATAATAATTGAAACTCACACTATAGATCATCTATTAGATGCAAAAAATAAAATAAAAAGGATTACTTTTATACAAAAATTTGAAATATTATTTTAAGAAGCTATATTATCAATTTTCCAAGTTTTAACTGCTTGCAGAAATTGTAACAGCAACGCTTTTTACATCACCGCGAAATATTTCGCAAGAAACCCAGTAAACTTCCAGCGAACTTTAAGATCACTGGAAGTTTTTCGTTGGATTTCCAGCGAACTTCCAGCGAAGTCTTTTGTTTCCATGGAAATCCAGCGAAAACCCAGTGATCTTAGTAAATTTCCAGTGATCTTTTAATTTCCAGCGAACTTTCGCTGGAAGTTCGCTGGGTTTTTTTGTAAGGGAATTTATAAACGAAGTATTTACTAAACGCAACCTAATGGAAGTATACAATCTATAATTTGTGATCGATAGTAGATGGTAAATTAATGTTACACGCTCTAAGCAAGTATTACAGACCATCGTTTAGCAAAGCAATTTTAAAACAACCAATTTAACTAGAGTTTAGAAGAACAGCGAGTGATTTAAGGAACTTAATGAAGGAGAACGCTCCGAAGCAGAAAAAGATCTTATTTATTTTATCATTATTTAGTAAACGAAATTACCTTAACTAATTTTAACAAAGATATCTTCTATGAATATTATTTATGTATTTACTGACACTAAATTTGCTACCAAAAGTACTTTTATTTGTTATTATATTTTAGGTAGGTGAAAGCGGAGCAACATGGCGAACGTTTTGAAAGCCCTGATTTACTGCAAAACTATCAGTCGTGAAGCAATAATACTTTCTCAGTATATTTATGTTATTAAAATGATTCATTGCCTGCATGAATTTTCAGATTGGAAATATAACAATTTGAAATAAATGTTAAAATAAAATGTTCATAAATTTGTCATCTGGTCACGTGACCGGAGCAAAATGACTTATTATGCAATTTTTGCCTCTAATTTTATAAACTTTTAAAAACTACCAATAACTATAACTAAAGTAACACAAAATAAACACAAGTCGCAAAAAACTAGTTCTAAAGAAGTTAAACTTAAAGGACACCATCCATTATAAGAAACCGAAACTGAGGCATTTTTTTTTTTAGCGCAAAAAGTAAACTTTTGCGTTTAAAATTGCGTTAATTTCAAAAAACCAATTGGTGTTCTAAAATTCATGATGCAAATACAGTTTCGTTCTCACTCAATTTTAAGATTTTTTGTTGAGTTGTTATATGAAAATCCATCTTGCCCCATTCGCCTTGTTGCCCCGCTTTCCCCTATATTAATTTCTTAAAACGTATGTGTAAGTTATTTTATAAGATATAACTTAATAAATTAATTTACTAACTATTAAATTAATAATTAATATCTTAGTAAAACCAACTATAGTCGGCGGCCTAACATAATATTTTTATTCTAACAAAAGCGCTTTTTATTAGTACATAAATTCAATTTGACACGTGACATTCTTAGCTAAAAAAGGACTTTCGGTAGGCGAAGTGTTTTTTTTTTGGCTACCGACAGTCGAGGTGAGTTGTTTTTATTTTTTTATTTTACCGAAAGCGCTTTTATTGGTTGATAAATTCTATTTTGACACGTGACATTTTAAGCCAATAAAACGGACTTTCGGTAGGCAAATTTTTATTTTTTTGGCTACCGACTTTCGGTAGGCTATCCACGGCGATATATATATATATATATATATATATACATATATATATATATATATATTATTTATATAATATATTATATATATATATATATATATATATATTATTTATATAATATATTATATATATATATATATATATATTATTTATATTATATATATATATATATATATATATATATATATATATTTATATATATATTATTTATATAATATATTTTATAATATATATATATATATATATATATATATATTATTTATATAATATATTTTTATATATATATTATATTTATTTACTTATTTTATATATTATATATTTATATATATATATATATATATATATATATATATATAATATATATATATATATATATATATATATATATATATATGTGTGTATATATATGTATGTATATATATATATATATATATATATATATATATATATATATATATATATATATATATATATATATATATATATATATATATATATATATATATATATATATATATATATATATATATATATTGTTGTTTTATTGTACCAAATTAAGATACAAAAGTCTCTTGTTCGTTTGAGAGTGATCAATATAATGTAAGTGTTTACAAAATAGATCAATAATAATAATAATAGAGTTTGATTATTTGAAAAAATACAACTTTTTGATGGTACTTGAAGTTTCATGCCCTTCGGCAATCATCAGCCATATTTTATTCTTTTAAAACAAGAAAAACCGTTAAAAAATACAAAATACAAAAATTAACAGAAAAAACAATAACAAAGCAATAGAATATGTTCTGACGTCAAAACAAAATTTTTAATTAGAAAATAGTTTAATCGGCCGTGTCGAAGTGGGCCAGAAGAAACTTGTTTCGATGCCTGCACTGGGATATCATTTCACTTTTTTTGTTAATTAGATTTTTATTTTTGGAAAACAGAATTTGATATTTTTCATTTATACACAGTTTGCAAGACTTCATGGTTGGGTTGTAAGCATTGCACTGCTTAATTATTTTCCATTTAACAACTGGATTTAAATTTGCATCTTTCAGTTTCCAAAATTCTTTTGATAGTTCAGTGTCATTTTTGTATTTTAGAATGGTAAAAGATTTTATATGGTTGGCATATCTAATTTTGAATGGTGTTTCGCTTATACCGATGTATAGTTTGTTGACAGGAGTGGTAGTAGGATTAGTTGAACTTATTTTAGCTTGGTATACAATGTTTTTTGTTAAGCATTGGTTTGATAGAGGGCAGGTGCTTTTATTAAGGCAGTTGCAATTGGTTTTAGGTGGATCTTTTTTGTTGTTCATAATTTGTCAATTGTGTGCATCTAGGATAGATTTCATGTTCGGCATACAGCTATAACTTACTTTTATGGTGTTTCTGTTGAAGATTTTGTGGAACTTGTGATTTTTTGGGAAGTGTTTGTTGACTAAAGTTAAGAAGCTTTTTCCTATGCTAGTGCTTACATTTTTGCTGAAAGGTGGGTTAAACCAAATGATGTTGCGTTTACGGTTTTTTGTATAAGGTGAATTTAAATTAGGGTGGTATGAAAGTTTATGATTAAAACCGGACTTTAACAGTGCGTCATTGTATGCAGGAGTAGATCTTTGGAAAATTTCTTCACTTGAGGAATTTGCAGACAATCTTAACTCAATTGAATGCGGAAGCTGTTTTAAAATATTTGGCGGGTGTTTTGAATCAGTGTCAATATAATTTAAAGAATTTCCGGGCTTAGAATATGGTTGGAAAGTATGGTCGTTTAGATTTGATGTGACGTCGAGGTAATTTACAATTTTCATGTTGCAAGATGATTTTTAATTTTTTCCATTTGGGGGCCACTCATATTTTTAAAAACAGCTAAGCCGTCATCGCGGTATAGTCCGAAATCGTTTTTATTATAAACCTGTGCAACTTGAGACAATAGATAAATTCCCACGAGTTCACAAACTTCAGTTCACTTCTTCAGTTCAGTCTACATGGTTGATAAACTGGGATTAGATCTGTAAACTAAAGGAAAGTTTTTCATACTTAAGAAAGTTTTTTACTTATAATAAAAATTTTTTTTTATTAAGTATTAAACATTAATTTTTTTCAATGTACAGTAATATTTACATCTTTTTTTATTCATTGTTAATTTAGTTCGAATCTAATGAAGTTGGATCATTTTTTCTTTCAAGTCCTTTTTCTCTTTTCTAATCCTTCTTTTTAAACTAAACAACTTTTTTTTTACATACTATTTATAACTGAATACTATTCATAACTACTTTAAACTAAAATTATGCATGTGATCAGTATACAAAAGTTTAATGTAAATGTATACTATGTATACTACAATTTATAATAATTAAAGTAATATGAAAGTTAAAATTACAAAATAATTATGTTGCCGAAATTTTTTAATTATTTTTTTATCTCTTTAAAAAAGATAAACAATTCAGCGTACTAACAATATAAAGCTAGGTTTCGGAAAGAAAATCATAAGGATCTAATCATTAGAATCATAAAAGTTAAACATTTATTTGTAATATATAGATATATTGAAGATTAAACAAAATGCAAAGATGTTGTATCTTTGCATTCTGTTAAATTAGCATATTATTATATTAAAATGTTTACAAACATTTTAATATATAATATGCTGAAGATTTAACAAATACATTTTACATAAACCTGTTCATAGAGAAAACATTTTTAAATTTAGTTTTAAAAACAAGAAGAGTAAAATCAAAGAAGAATCAAAATTTGGTAATACTGTTTTATTTCATGATTTTGAGATTATCAATCTCAAATTAAAATAATTAAACAACAATAACAAAAAATGAAACAACAAACGAAAATATCAAAAAGTTGACAAAATACTTTAAGTTAGTACTACTTTACATTCCTGGTCTATTTTGATTATTTTAAGTATTTTAAAATTTAAATATTGTTGAAAGATTCTGTCAGTATGTTATCTAATAATAATTGATAAAAAAATATTGAAATAAATAAAACTAAATGCAATACCAAAGTGCTTTTTTAAAACTATATATATTTTCGCGATATTTGTGCTTTTCACGTTACTTGTTAGTTTTTAGAAACTTAGCTTTTAAAATCTTTCTAATATTCATTTATTTAGTAATGTATAACAATCAATAAAAATTTAATAACTGTATTGCCTAACTCCTTGTTTACACTTAATTAAATTTCGAATAATATAATATAATGTAAAATAATCTAATGTAAAATCTAAGAGTGTTAAAATCTTTTTTTTAATTTTAGTTCAATTTTTAAAAGCAATCATATCACCTTCCCCCCCCTCCCCCTACACTTTATTTAAATATGTAAAAATGTTTGATACTTAGTATTATTTATATTAACATAAACAAATAAAAAACATAAACAAGTATTTTGATAGATGTACTTACATATATAACTATTAACATATACAAGCATCTTCAGCCATTTACATTTAATAGAAACAATTATTACACAATAAACAAATATATTTACGATTAACTATAACAACCATACACAAGCGCATCATCAAAAACAAAAAAAGACCATACACAAGAATAATCAGAAAAAAGTTTCACACCCGCTATTAGACAATTTACTATAGTAAGATTACCCTTGTTTAAAATTCGCGCGCACTTCTTCATTTACAAGGATAAAAGTTATTCCTCAAAGCATGTTTATAAAAAAAAGGAAGTAATATATATTATATAAACGCAGGGAAATTTTTGCTTTGAATACTACTTTCACTTTTGTTAAATAAGTAATTTTGTAAATAAGAAATTTTGTATAAAAATAAAACAACTAATACTTTTTTCATCGAAAGCGTCATCAGTTTATTTTCGTCACGTAACAAAACGATAACAGTCATTTGACAAAACTATTTCGTTTTGGAAACGGCTGCTATTCATTTAAAGTATTTAATTTGTATTCGAAGTCAAAGTTACGAAAAAATAATCTATTTATATTATACAACACTTCCAACTATGTTACGCTCGCGTAATATATCACGGTCAATCAAAGAATTTTCGAGGGAGGAAGTAGAAAGTTCTTTACTTTTAGTAATTACTTGCTTCGCCTTCCTAGCATCGGTATCTAGAGCATCAATTGTTTCTTGCCGTAATTTAGCTCGCTTTTCGGCATCGAGTGTACGTTGTTCACTACTTGAACGTTCTACCTAACAAATGAAACTCTTTTAAACCCAACCGATTATAAGTTTTTATTATTTGAATAAAAACAAAAACAGTATATCGCCTATTACTCATAATAAAAAAATCAACGAACTCTCGTCCACGCTAAAATTTCGGCTTCTTTGTAAGATTCGTCCACTTTAGGTTGGTCGTTGTGATGATGGTAAGTTATTCGTTCATATCCGCCATCCTGAATTATTAAAAAAGTACAAATGAACAAAGTAAAATGTAAAGACTTGTAAAAATAAAAAAATGCAAAAAAACTTACTGAAAGGTCACCGGAGGTAGCTGAAGACTGGGAATCGGGAGAAAAACGAGACTCACATAGGGACGGATTAAAAAATATGTTTTCTTCGATAAGTACCGATGCAGCTTGTTCATCATACCCGTCACAAACAACTGTTGTTAAAATATCTCCTGCTGTCCTTAAAGCTCTTACAGCATCAACATGAGTCGCACCCAGAAGACTTATCCCATTAACCTACATCAAGACGTAAGTAAATTTTGTAACAAAATATCGAAAAGAAATCTAAGCATTTAATGACAAATTATTTATTGAGTAGTTTTATTATAAGTATTAATGACAAATTATTTATTGAGTAGTAAATAAATAATTATTGAGTAGTTTTAGGGGATTTTTATTGTTTATTTTCTAGCCTTTTAAAAAAATTTAAATTTGTTAAGTTTTAGTGTTATATTAAAAAAAATGTCTATGTTTAAAGTAGTTCTTAAACTATTAAAATAAAGTTTTGATAAAATTATTACGGTTTAAAAAGCCGAGTTTTAGATAAGCCTATTTTCTAACCGTCCGTATAAATAATACATTATTTCAAATAAACTCTCGAAATATCGTCTACTTAAAGCGATGTTTTTTAACGTTAATTACCTCAAAATTATTTTTAATTTTAAGATTCTATAGTACTATAAACTAATAATTATAGTACTATAAAATAGTACCATAAATATTAGTACTATTCTATAGTACAAGGATTTTTTTACATCTACCTCAAAAAACTTAATCTTTTGTGTCATAAACTACTTTAAAAGATTATTCATCTGCACATTAATTTTATTTTACTATAATTTTAACTGTTAAACTTTCAGATATTACTTTTATTTCAAAACACTTAAAAAAAACCTCTTATTTTTATTTTGAAACACTTATACAAACCTTTCTATTATTTTTACTTCGAAATATTTAAACAAATCTCGCAATTATTTTTAATCAAGTATACATACTATCCAAAAAAAATACAATTTCTATAGTAAAACACTTAATACTTTATCAAATTTATATTATTAAACATTTAAAAACTTTAGAAGTGTACAAGTGTAAAAGAAAAGTTAACTATATTTTTTTAAAATCACCTCTAAAATCGAAAGTTAATAATCTACAAACAAACCTCTAAAATTCTCATCCCAACTTTTAATCTCCCATCTCGTGAAGCCGCTCCTGATGAATTAACCTAAACAATGTTTGTATAGATTCTTTTCAAAAATAACTTCATAAAAGTAATTTTATACATTTTAAATATATATGAACTATACAATATATTATCTTACAAACTAAATAACAAAAATATGAATAACAACTATCAAAAAGAATACAATTGTATCCATAGCCGTCCCGAACGGGGAGTGTAGGGGGTATTCCAACCCCCCCCCCCCCCCCACAGCTGTCATATAAACATTTAAGTTGACACATTAAGCAAGTTTTAAACTATAGTTAGCAAATTGCAAATATTGATAACCTTTTTTTTTTTCTTAGTGTCTCTAGCTGGCAAAAAAAAAAAAACACCCCCCTACGAAAGACCTCTTATGGTCGACCCTGATTGTATCTCATTCCTCTTATTTAATATGTTGTTTACAAAAAAAACCCTAGCATTTTAAAGCTACTTCCTCATTCTATAGAGTTAAGGCTGTCATCTAATTCATCTAATTTAACTATTTTTCGAAACTCTGCCTATTTGTATTGGGATGCATTAAAAAAGTCTGGTTAAAAGTTTAAACTTAATTATATCGTCGCCGCAAAACAGACTATCTTCCATTTTGCGGTCCTGAGAATTTATCACTGCGTTGGATCTTCTTAATTAAACCGAATTGTTTTTAAAATACTTATAGAAAATGTTACTATCTTTCATAATACAACATATAAAAAATAAAACATTTAAGCTTATGAGAAGTAACAATGCAAATGGACTTATGATTATTTTAAAACTATATAAAATGTGAAAAATTCTACAAATTAAATTGCCGCTGCAAAACAACATCTTCAGTCCGTTTTGTCAGTTTTTAGAAAAAAAAATTTCTAGTTTAAAATTTAATCACTGCTTTTAATTTTTTCGATCTATTCTTGTTCTCAGTTATTTGTTATATGTATTAAGTATTTTAAACCAAAAAAGTTTTTTTAATGCCAAAAAATGGACTTAAAATAGTTTTGTTTTGCAGCAACGATGTGTCTTAACTATTTTTTTGTTGGACATAAGATATTTGAATTTTACTCATAGTTGCAAAAGTTGAATTAATTTTGGTTCCATACTTTTTGATGACTTTTGTGCACCTTACAGGTATTTTAAATCAAAAAAATCAATTTTGCCAAAAACAGACTTAAGATCTTTTTTGCAGCAACAAAAATTGAAAACTTATCAAACATCTAACAAAAAAACGCAAGTGCATATAATCTGGTTTAAACCCCTACATATAGTAAAAATGGTTTAACAAATATAGGTAAACTCTTTTTGGATTTAATAGACAAACACTTCCTAGTTGGCTATAAATATTACAAGATTTTTAAAACGCTAGCCATACGCTAAATACAAAATCTTTTAATTTCTAAAAATGCAAAAACGATACTGAATTATCTAAGCAAGTATGAAGGTGAAAGTGACAATTGAATGGAAAATTTTAAAACGTTGTAGATCTTGCAATCCCACAGTAAAACAATGCAACCTATGTTTATATGAAAAGTATTTCATAACATCTTACACCAATCATAACTTCTTAAATAAGAAGAATGAATTAGTATCTATATGTAGGCATAAAAGCAAATTTCTTCTGCAAAATTTGATACAGGCGATTATGCAGGCATTTTTAGATTTTTTCTCTTGGTTGTTATGAGGACAGAGCACACTCCACTGTAACTATGTTTTAACAATTTTTTTTTGTTTTGTTTTATGATTTGTGTTACATGGCTGGTGATTGCCTTTAGGGATGAAACTATTAGTGCCACAAAAAATTGGATTTTCTTTGTTTATAAAGTTTTATATATATATATATATATATATATATATATATATATATATATATATATATATATATATATATATATATATATATATATATACACACACAAACATATATACATATAACTTTATAGATTAAATAATAAGAATTATTAATTGAGAAATAAGATTGTGTTTTAATAATAATTAAGAAATAAGATTGTGTTTTTTAAAATAAAAAAAATCTTATTTCAAAGTTTGGGAGCTGTGGGAGCAGCTCCCACAGCTCCCAAACTTTGTTTTAGGAGAGCTTTTCTCCGCTCTCGTGCTCATTTATTCCTGTTGAGGCCTGTATATATATACATATATATATATATATGTATATATATACAAAATTTCATTAAAATTATTCATGTAAATTTATTGTTATTAAAAAAGCTTATATAAATTAAAATAAACTAAATACAATTATTACTAAATATTCACTTAATACTAATTAAAACCATTTTTATTTCACTATACCTTGGATATAAATATACCCTCATCATCTTTGTCAAATGGGTTTCCAGGGTGTCCTTTGGCACCACCACGTATACTTATTCCCAACTTTTCACCAAGTTTTTTTGAAATTTTTACTTCCTAAACAATAGAATTTCTTTTAAAAAAATTCTAGTTTAACATCAGTATTAGAAAAATATCAACATTTAAACAAAAAATACTTTTAATCCAGGTGGTGGAGGATCATGGCGAACAAGCAACTTAATTTCTGGATCATTTGAAATAAGTGCGGCTACAGCTTCTTGATGTGATGCACGCCTCATATCTTTGTCATTGACTCTAAGTATTCTATCACCAATGCAAAGATTAGTTTTAGCTGCTTCACCAGTTGACATTATCTAGAATTGTTATCAAGCAAAACATATAACGAAAAAAAAAAGATCAAAAAACTTTTAAACATATTTTTTAAAAATATGAAACTTTTTCATTGCATTATTGCATTATTAAAAACGTCTTTTTAATAAGGGTTTGCCATAAAATGACAAACGCCTTCTTTTTAATAAGGGTTTGCCATAAAATGACAAACGCCTTCTTTTTAATAAGGGTTTGCCATAAAATGACAAATGCCTTCTTTTTAATAAGGGTTTGCCATAAAATTGCATTATTCAAACAATAAAACTTATGATTCAGATTGTTCTGAACTTTTCAAGTTTGAAAAACAAAGATGAATAACAAAGTTGACACAAATTATATTCAAAATTCCAAAAATAAAAAAACCCTTTTAATGTACTTGTAGTATCATATACAAAATTTATAACCCTAATATGTTTGTAGCACACTAATCAATTGTTTAACAAATTAAATAAACAGCACTTGAAACTAGGTAAGAGAGGTCAGCATTTATTGGTGGACAAAAAAAAAATTTGACACAAAGGTTTTACCATAAAACATAGAAACGAGGTAGTACAATTTTTTGCTGACCTCAAATACTTTTATGCAGTTAGATATGCAATCGCATATGGCAATTGCTTTTTGCACCTTCGCAATTGTTTTTTTTTTTTTTTTTTTTTTTAAAGTTTTAAGTTATTTGTTTTTCGTTTTCGTGATTTTTTTTTCTAATTCATTTTTTTTTTTAGCAATTTCAAAAAATATTGAATAAACCAAAGTAAATCTAAAAAAAAAAAAAAAAAACACTCCAGAAAGTTGGATATTTTTTTAATATCAGTTTTTGTCTTGCGATTCGAATGTTTTTCACTAATCATAAAAATATCAAGTGAAAAGGAGATAATTGTTCCAACACATGTAGCCCAGATAAAAGGTATTCACAATGTTTTATTAGTCAATAGATAAACTAATTATATAGAAAATAAAAATTTATCAAACATTAGTGTATTATTAGTATGACAAAGTCTAATGTAATGAATGTCATGTGCAGTTGTTTTAATATTATTAATTAATAATTAGATTCCAGAAGACAGTTTATATTTAAAAGATCAAAGAGAAAAGTTGAGTCCAAAAGAATTATTTCAACTTGAGTTATTTCAACTCGGCATCTTCAAAGAAACAAAGAAACTTCAATTAAACTCGTCTACAGCTTGTGGTCCAGACAACATTCCTGTCACAGTCTTGCAGAATTGTTCTCCAGAACTTTCTTCGATTCTCTCTAAACTATTTAACAAGTGTTTGACTGAGTTGTTTTCCTGCTTGTTGGAAAATGGCACCTGTGGTTCCAATATTCAAAAACTCTGGAGAAAATTCTGACCCCTCCAATTATCGTCCGATCAGTCTTCTTTCTGTTATTAGCAAGGTCTTTGAGTCTTTGATCAACAAATTCCTCACATCTCATCTTGAGTCAAATAAACTGCTGTCAGACAATCAATACAGTTTTCGATCCTCTCGAAAACCGTATTGATTGTCTGACAATCAATACGGTTTTCGAGAGGATCGAAAACCGTATTGATTGTCTGACAAGCAATATGGTTTTCGAGAGGATCGAAAAATTGAAAACCGAGCAAAAAGAGCTACTTTAGATCCTTTTATCTAAAGTAGCTCTTTTTGCTGATGACTCAACTTTATACTCCTGTCTTGACAAAAAGTCTTCTCTTTTCGATCGCTTAGAACAAGCAGCTGCTCTTGAATCCAATCTCACTTCAGTAATAGATTGGGGTTAACAGTGGCTTGTGAATTTCAACTCTAAAAAAACCCAATTGCTTACTGCAATTAACTACCGTAATATGGTCAACATTCCTATATTAATGAATGGCAATCCTCTTACTGAGTCCTCCTCTTTACGTCTTCTTGGATTATCGCTTACTACTGACCTTTCATGGAAACCATATATACAATCGATTGCTAAATTAGCTTCTGCTAAGGTTGCTTCTCTTCATCATGCTCGCCATTTCCTTACTTCTGATTCCATTCTCTACCTCTACAAATCTCTTATTCGTCCCTGTATGGAATACTGTTGTCATATTTGGGCTGGTTCTTCTAAAGATTCACTTTCTCTTCTTGACAAGGTCCAAAAACGCATTGTAAATGTTGTTGGACCTGGACTATCTGCTAAGCTTGAACCTCTTTCCCATCATCGTAAAGTTGCATCTCTTTCTCTTTTCTACAGATACTATCATGGTCACTGCTCAAAGGAGTTATCATCTCTAGTTCCATCAACTAAAATTCATTCTTGTTTTACTCGTCATTCAGCTTAATCTCATTCATTTACTGTATCTGTCCCTGCATGCTCTAAAAACTTTTATTCATCTAGTTTTTTTCCCCGCACTTCAATCCTTTGGAACTCTCTCCCATCTTCATGTTTTCCTAACTCATACAACCTTCAACTTTTCAAGTCTTCTGTCAACCGTTTCCTTGCTCTATAACTCTGTTCTTTTTTTTTCCTAGTAACTCCCAACTTAATAGTGGTTGCTTGCAACCTTGTTAGGAGTGAATGCAAATAAAAAAAAAAACAAAAACAAAAAAAACATAATATTCAATATAAATCAAAAAAAATATTACAATTAGATGAAAATAACAGTTAATTAGTTAAATTTTGTGAGCTTTTTTACATATAATTTTTTATAAACAAAAATAAGTAAATCTTTTTAAAAGAAACAGATTAAACTAAATTTAATTTTACAACCCTGAAAGAAAACCTTGAAAGAAAACCATAAGGAGTTTACAACTTTTCTTTTAGATGTGGAGGCCTGAAAGAAAACCATAAGGAGTTTACAACTTTTCTTTTAGATGTGGAGGCCTGAAAGAAAACCATAAGGAGTTTACAACTTTTCTTTTAGATATGGAGGCCTGAAAGAAAACCATAAGGAGTTTACTATCTTTTGAAGTATCCAAAAATTGATCATGTTAGAATATAAAGAATAGATAAAGTTCCATTGGAGCTACATGAGTAAATGCTCTTATACTCGATCTGCAATTAGGACTGTTTGCTAATCCAACAATTACGACAACTTTATTTTTAGATAAATCCTAAATAGACAGACAGAGGAACTTGGATAAAGTACTGTGGCACTAAAAAACCATTGAGAATAATAGAGACTTTGTTTACCATAGTCACCATAGTGTTGATGGTAAAATTGAAAAATTTGTTGCATTAGAAATAAAAATCTAAGACAAAGTTGTATTTAAAAGATCCACAGAGAAAATCTTTAGACTGTGTTTAACTTCTACCTAAGCTTTATGACAGGGAATATCTTCACAAAGATTCAACTCTTGTTGAAATAACAGGAGAAATTTAGACTCATTACATGGTATAAAGTTGTCGGGAAAAAAAAAAAATTTAGACATAAAAAGATCGGATTCCAAATAGAGATTCAAATCAATTTAAATGATTTTCTTGATGTAACTTTTTTAATCTTTAAAAAAACTCCTACCAACTTGAACAAAATGGTTTTATAAACTTGAACTTAAAGTAAAACCCTAAAACAAGACACCCCCCCCCCCCCCAAAAAAAAAAAAAAAACTTTCAAATGCTACCACGTTCTCAATATATATATGAGATCTCAATATATATATATATATATATATATATATATATATATATATATATATATATATATATATATATATATATATATATTTATATATACATATATATATATATATAAATATATATATATATATATATATATATATATTTATATATACATATATACATATATATATATATATATATATATATATATATATATATATTTATATATATATAGATATATAATTATATATATTTATATATATATATATAAATATATATATATATATAAATTTATATTATATATTATATATATATATTAATATATATATAAATATATTTATATATATATATATTAATATATATATAAAATATAATATATATTAATATATATTATAAAATATTTATATATATATAAAATATATATATAAAATATATATATAAAAATTTATATATATTATATATATATAAATATATTTATATATATAAATATATTTATATATATATATATTTATATATATATATATATATATATATATATATATATATATATATATATATATATATATATATATATATATATATATATAAATATATATATATATAAAAGATAAAAAAGTTTAATTACCACTATGAAATTAGGTTTTGAAAGGGTGAGGTTTTTTTAGAAATTCTTTATTATAATGTGAACTTTTAACACTATACAAAAAAAGCATTATATTAATTTATAACTATACAAAAAAAGCATAATAATTTATAACTATAGTTTAAAAGCTGTTGTATCACTGAACCCATCAACAAAGATAATTAGCATTTTAAAAAATAGTAAGGAAGTAATTTTATAACAAAGTGGTAAGGAAGCTAAAATATCATCCTAATGTTATGATTTCGTTGTAGGTTTTGGTCGAATAAATTTTGAATTTAAGTATTGTGAAGGGCTATTAGTAAATATATTAGTAAAAATATTTGTAAATTGTTGGATTTATTGGGGCATTTTCTTGTAAAGTTGTACATTTTCTTGTAAAGTTGTACATTTTCTTGTAAAGTTGTACATTTTTAAGAAATGGAATCAAAATTAGAAGAAAAAAACATTATGCAGAATATTAAGCTAAATATGTTTCTTGGAACCCAGATTAAAAAAAAAGAAATATCCATAGTATGATCTAAGACATATCAAGAAAAATCCATAGTATGAAGAAATATCCATAGTATGATCTAAGACATATCATGGAAAGCCGATCCTATTGTACTGCTTGAGCAGTATAGCTTATACTGCTCAAGCAAAATTTTTAAAAAGTTTTAAAAAGTTGTACAAATCAATTAAATTAAACAAATCCATCTCAAAGACAAACCTCATCTTTTAAACAAATCCACCTCAAAGACAAACCTCATCTTTTAAACAAATCCATCTCAAAGACA